TTTGATATTTGAATAACGTAGAATATTGATGTGTTGACCATTAGTGACACTCAATTGCCTGCTATGGGCAAAACCGCTGTTGTGTGTCGCTTTTTTAAAGGTATCCTTGGATACTGGAAATGGACAAAATTGACACCCATAGAACAAAAAGAACAATTTATGACCTCTTTACCCATAACTGAGACAGAAAAAAACTTAGAGCAAAAAGAGATAAATAAAGTTGCGAGCAAATGTGACACTACTCAGCATTGAGCAAAAAATACGTTTTCTGCATTTTTCTCGCTACTGAAAAGAGATAGCGACTAGGTGTCTTCGTCATTATTGTAGAATAAAAAGAACTACAAATAAGCCAAAGTGTTGCTTTGAGTGACCAAAAATGCTTCGATTCGAACGGCTGTAAAGTTAAATCTTGGCTATAAAGCAAGACACAAATCTCAAATTCAGTTGAACAGTTCAATGATGAAAATGATAGAAAAAAGAGCCTTCAATTTATCGAGCTGGTATAAAATAGGTGTTATTTCATAAGTGTGAGTATATTCCATGAAAATTGAGGGTCCAATGAAAATCATCAATTCAAAATAAAGTCGATAAAAATGGAAGTAAATGCGAAAAATCACATAGCAAAAGAATGGTCATGATGGAAAACGAGAAGAGTAATGCAGCAACATGAACAACAACAACACTACCACAACAACAGAAGAACCGGAAAAAAAATTGAGTGATATGATATTGCCGTTCGCAATCAGCGAATAATAAATAGCACGCGCACATGTCAGTTTACATAAAATAATGTTGGCCATATGACTGATGTGTATACGACTGAGAGCGGAATTTAGAGTGCGGTCGAATGAAGTGAAGAAGAGATAGAGAGAGTGAAATAGATAGAGCGGGCAAGAGCTTGACTCTCGATACCGCACATAGAATACATCGAATGGAGTCTATCGAGAGCGTGACGTATGACAGCTAGTTAGAGTCAACGCGTTTTATATGATTTATTTGACTTAAAATACATTTTGTTTTCGTTTTTATTCCATCTTCTTGCCCTCCCTCCTCCCATTCTTCTTGGTGCAATTTGTTTGATGGCATGACAGTGTGTTGCTTCTTTCGGTCTAATGAGGCGTACACCGTAGTGCGCTGGTAGTTTCAATTACATTGACAGTTTATAAAAATAAGCACGTGGCATTAGTATGTATAGTATGAGCTATTATGGTTTTGGATGTGATCCGAAGCGGGTATTCTTAAATTCTTGAACAAATGAACCTCTATTCGTTCGGCGAATAATAATTAAAATGATTGGTGGTTTTCGAGATTCGGACATTCTGATTATAAAGTTTTTTTTTATTTCTCTCGTCGATGGAATCAGAATGGGATTCCGAATGGGATGACGACGAAAAAGTCGCCTAAAAACTTAAATATACAATCATCAATTTTATTTTTATATAACATAGAAATGGGGAGACTCTCTGTTTTTTTTTTGTCTTCTGTGGTGTGCACTCACATTTCTTGGGACTCTTCCACTCTCTGTCCCTCTCTCGCTCTTTCTCTCTCTGTATATTTGTCTGTGTGTATCTAAAGGCGCTGCAAAGACACCAGATCCCGACCAAATGATGTGTGTGGTGCTGTGTGCAGTCTGTGCATACTTGGTGTACGTGGTATGGTAGGAAATGTGTATTTGCTCTTGATGAATGTCATTACTTAAAGCGATGAGGAGCGAACCGAATCGCTTCATTGCTGCCGGCCACTTTGTTCTCTTGTCGCTCGTTCGCTTCTGCCGTAGATTGGCTTCAAAATCGAGTTGATCCGTGGGCATGCCACAGGCCATTACAATATACTCACCAACATTTGGAACACATCAAGTCTTCAGTTCCTCCACCATCATCTCTGTCAATTTGTTGTTGTGTGTGTGCGTGTGTTTTTTTTAGCTTTATTCGTTCGATTCGTCTCTCATACGTCATATGCTTACACAAACACTCTTCGTCGCTCGTCTCTCTCTCTCTCTCAGCCCCTTCGCTGTTCCGCTCTTTCTTTCTATCGCGCAAAGAACATTTCGATTTTTATTATTTTATATCTTCTTTTTTTGTGTCCTTGTTGTTGTTTTAGCTGGTTGTTGTGTGAATGTGTTCTCTCTCTCTGTGTGTGTGTTTTTTTTTTCGCCGTGTTCAAGCGGTGCAATTTTGCTGTGTACGCTCTCAATCTTCATCGACGATGCTAGTTGCTTGTTCCCTTTCGGCTTGAAAGTCATTTAAAATGGGTACATACACGCATACGGTATGGAACGAGTTCGACTCTATATAAAAATGTTCATCGCCAATGGCATTCTATATGATGTGTGTATAATGTATAAATATACATGAAAATCATTGAGCATTGGTGATTTCAGCTGGTGAATAGCATGGTCTCTCTCTCTTTCTCTCTTTCTCTCCCTCCATTTTTGATACCACAACAACGATATGACTCGCGCGTGCAATGCAACACACACTCAGAGGGACAGAGATGCACTGCGAAGAGAAACTGAGTGAAAAAGACCGAGAATAAGCATCAACATTGACGAATTGTGTGATTAGCGCGCGCTTTTCAATATAAAAAAAAAATATATCGTCCAAATTATTATGTTAGCTTTTTCCCTTAAACACGCGTGTCACACTGTCGCTGACGTGCGTACTCAAGACTGCGCGCGCTCGTTCGATCTCTCGCTCCAGTTGGATAGGTCGTTAACGCGCTACCCTTTAAAATTTGTGTCGTTCATCGATCTCTTTTCGGATGGACTTTGCCGAGAAAAAAAAAGATAAGCAACCGCAACGCCAATTTTTTTTTCTCCTCCAAAATAAACGAGAAAATAAATTGAAATCAAACTGATGAGAGCGAATACACAGTAGAAGAAGAAAAAAAAGCCGACCAATAAAACATGTATATCGACTGAAAAAAAAATGTCACTGTTTTTTCCCTTCTTTTGGTTAGTACACGCAGAGCGAGCGAGTGAGCGAGAGAGAATGAGAGAGAGAGAGAGAGAGCCACGGCGAGAATTTACCATCGGTGTATTTCGAAGTGAATTTAAATATTTCAGAATATTGTATCGATTGATGCCGTTGGCAAAATGATTCAGCACAATTCAATTCTAGTTGCCATTCGCCCATTGAGGCGCGCTTAACGCAGAGCGGAGAGAGTGTTTTCATGCGGTTTAAGTTTACGAGTAATGGTTTCGTTGTCGATTCCGTTTTTCATAGTCTGTACCTTCTTGTGAAAGGTGATCGAATTGTTGTTTTGCAACCGATGGAATCAAAAATTGTCATCGAGTCATTTAAAAAGTTAAACTTTTGGTTTGTTAACTTTTGCTACACCGTTAAATTTTGGAATACAATAACACAGGGATAAAAATAACCGATATATCGATATACCTTGCTGTAGCAAGGAAAGAGAAAGAAGAAGTAAAAGCAAGGAAAGAGAAGATAGCAAAGGATGACCAATCGACGATTGGCAATCTTTGATATAACGGCCTCAATGTGACCACCTCATTTCCACTCATTTCAATCAAGTTTCAATTGCAAGATATCATCACACATTCCACACCGAAATTCCATTAAATTTAAACACATATAAATAGGTCGTGCGAGCCGAAACGGCATCCGATTATTGAATCGCTTCAACCACCACCACCCCAGTATTAGCCCCATTCAACACTTCGATGCAAAGCCACAGACACAGACACACCGACACGTGCATACGTACCCCAGCGCACCGATTAGGAAAAGTAAACGGTGCAACAACGATGCGATAACGCATTCGGCCAACACTCTTTAAAGGCTTAGGGTTTGTCGGGAAAAAACAATAAACACCAAAAGCAAGCGTTTGTTTCGTAAATGCTAAATAGCCAAAGAGTATCAAAAACATCAACAAACCCAAAAAACGGTTTTCGCCACTCTCCATATCGAAGAGTATGGTTCGTGTTGGCCGCACGCGCGCACGCACACACAAATACAGTTTAATTCAGTTGCTTGCAACCCTCTCGAGCACACACAAAAAGCCACGACTCGTGAGCGTATGGCATTTTCCTTAGACTGTCAACATCGATTCAGCCAAACGACTCATGGCTCCGGCTTACATTTTCGGCTAAATTGCCAAAGACAACAAACCAAATATACGTACACATATCAAAGTAAATCAGTCAAAAAGCTGAAGGAACACCACCGAAACAGATCCATGATACATGGAACATTGAAATAACATTTTGTGTACATTGACATTGTGTATAACATAACAACAATGACGACCAAAAATACACTCCGAAAAGAGGAAGAAAAAAAAACCGACCGACCGAAAGCCACAGAACATTCTCCATTATGCTGCACATGCTGCCGTCGAACGAATAAACACTTTGTAAATGGATTCTTATACTGCTACTGCCCGTCCGTTGCAGCAGCAGCAGCAGCAACGCGCTCGCTCGCTCACAATAACAACAACAACCGATTTATAACACTGTTAAGCGCCAAAGATCACATCGGCTATGGAAAATGGTTCTCTTTCAATTTTCGCCACCATGGTCGTTGCAACACGAACGGTCGTTTCTCACCCAAGCCAAAGCACGATGTATATGCTGCTGCAGCCACCGTCGTTGTAGCCGCCGCCAACATCGCCATCTCCGTCGTCGTTTTCATTGTTGTTGTTGGCTGTCAAGCAACAGCCGTTTAACGTTAACGGGCCATCGTGTGTCTTGATTATCCATATCGTATCGTGTGCAATTCTCTCTCTCTCTCTCTTTCTCTCTTACGGTATCATTCTCTTTCTCCCTTGCTGGATCGCTCAAACGGTCGGTGTGAGCGTGTGTGTGTGTGTGTGTATGAGTGTGAATGCGTGCGTCACGGCTGCTGCCTCTACTACTCTCACTCATTGTATGCAGACATTGCCTGCTAACGAACGAATCGAACCGAGCTTTTATTTTGTTATTGAGTTCGTCGTTCCGTTTCGCGCCGTACACACTTTGGAATCAACAACAAACCTCGAGAGCATGGTGTCAGTATGATTTCGGGCATCGAGGCAGTTACTTGTGCATCAGAAATCATTGCCAAACGCGCTCAGTCGCTAGCACAGATCACAAATTAACTACAACGTCCTTGCCATCATTATCATCGGAATCAGAATCGTTATCAACGTCAAGATTTTAGTGCATTTTTTGAAGAAAAAAAAATTGTTTGTTGGTGTTGTGGTGTGTGGGACAGAACGAAAAAGTAAAAAAAAAATATATACGAACAATTGATCAACAAAAAGAGAAAAAAACTTCGTGTTTTTTGATAAAAGACAAATTTCGTGCAAAACAATTTTGAAAAGTAAATACACAATTTTTTAAACACATTTTTGATTGTGATGTTTGGTTTTTATTTTCATGGTTCAGTTTTATTTTGGGTTTTTAAATCCGTTCGATCGTTTGAAAATGAGCAATTTGAATTGAATTTTTCTTCTTTTCTTGTCGTTAAATGAATATTTGATTTGAATGTACTGGAATGTTGACAAATTCGATGCAATCAATCACACCGTGCGGAATTGGACTTTAAACAATTTCTTTAAATCGCCTTACTTTACTTGGTTGATATTACTTTTATCCAAATGATCTCAACGCACTCAATCCAAAAAATCATCACTCGCGCTGTTTGACCACCAAAAAAGTGATTGCAATCGCGTTCGAATGATTTTTTTAACGATGACGAACGACAACCACATTTCAGTATAAAAACAGCATCAACTGAAGAGAGAGAAAAAATGGTTTGAAAAAACGACGCACACACACGTCCGAATACATTTAGAAGCAGAAAAAAAAACGCAGAACAACAATTACACGCGATAAACATGAAATGACTTATTAGATACGTACATTTAATCGCCGCGAGTAAAATTGAACCGATGTCTTTGTGTTTTAACAATTCACACACACACACGCGCGGGCACGCAATTTATAGCCATTGCTGAATCGTCGTTAGTTATTGATTGTGATTTTTTTTTTCAATATTTTTTCTCTCTCGTACGCCCGCCCTTCTCACTCTTTCTCGTGTATTGCATCCGGAGAATGGGTTTTGTATTTGATGGTCGCTTTGTTTTTGTTCTGTCGGCATATTTTCCGTGTGTGTGTGTGTTTTTAATTTGTCTTTTTCAATTTGTTGGCGCTAGAGCTCATCAAACGTGGTTCATCATTTGGGTTTTCTGTTTTCTTCTGTCTTTCATCGAATGTGATGCGTTCATTTACGTATTAGACACACTCGCGCATGTAAAGTTCTTTTTTTTCCTTGTGTTGAATCAAATTTATGTTGTTTTTAATATTTACTGTTCTGATTTAGTATTTGATACACAATCGTAAGAACCGTACGTGTTTTCGTTCAAATTTCTTTCATGTTCGTTCATAACTTGTTTTCAGAGGCTCTTGAGAGACAAAGTGTTCATCACACTCAACCCGAAAAGGATCACACGTTTCAATTTAAATATTATCATCGCCTGACGATCGCATCATTGCCTCTATCATCAACATCATCGTTCTTGTCGTTTGATCGATCGATTTTTTCCGTTGGAATCCGTGTTCGACAAAAGCGACAAAATTTTTGTGTACGATATTCTACGACCGAGCACCGCGACACTGGATCAGCGGGGGCATATTGGTTCGGATTCAGCCACAAACTGCATCAAAAGGTAATATTTTCTCTAGTTTTTGATATTAAATGATTTACATTGTAAACATTGGACACAATTGGTGTGTTATTTATTCATTTTAATCACATGCACAATTTGCAAGCAAAAAATTATGCGTTTTCTAATGTAATTCAGGTGGCGTGCGTGCGTGCGTACGACCATTCTTATGAGCAAATCCTGATAATCAGACAAATTATACACAAGCCCGTTATTATCCCAACCCCATTCATTAGGCACTCGTTTAAACGAACCGCTGAAATGATACACCTGCATACTACACAGACATACAATCGAGCAATCAATCTGCACATTCATGGGCTATGGAACAGGTTTTTCAAATCATTATCACAGAATTCACAATTCGAATCCACAAGAACTCTGCACGATAAACTCAAATTTATTCAACAAATCTACCTAAGAATGAATTATTTTGATAAATTCTTCTGTCCTACAATGGTATCAAATTGCAACTGAGGACCGAACTCAAAGAACGTGTTGCAAAAGTGTACCGCTGTAAGATTCATTACGAATGGAAAATTTTACACGTTCAATAAAACGTCGTTCATATGGGCAATCGTGTAACATTTTCTTTGGCCTCGTCAATTTTCATTTTAGAGCGTGAGACAAGTGAGCTTCCGCCCGATTTCGTTGATGCACCAGCCTATTTGTGCTTGATATTAGAGTGATGTAATATTGCATACGTAATGTAGTTGAATGCGTTTTCAAATTGCTACCATATGTAGCCATTCTTTCATATCTTTCATTACACGAAATTCGTTAGTCTGTTTGGAAAATAGAGTGAAACATAGCTTAACGATGAATGGAATCAATTTGATTCAAACAGCATTCAAATATTATGAACAATTTTCGTGCAAATCGGTAAACAAAAGAGTAATTCACAGAAAATATCGATCAAAAACACTACGTACGACATAGAAATACTTTATAAAATACGGTTTTTGTCATAATTGGACAAGACTTTGCTATTGGATTCTTCTGATGAGCATGTCTCGTCATATTCTCGGTCATTTTCGATCTGTCTCAGGAAGAAATTTAAGTGAGAAATTCCAGAAATGGCTTAATTGCGAAAAATGCGTGAACTCCTTATATTCTCTGGCTTGTTATTGTTTCTATTGGAAAGGAAATTGAGAATTTCCCAGCAACAAGTCCCATATGTCTAATGAAAAGATCGATACAGTAAAACCTTTGATATACAGTGATATTTGTTGATTGTTTGGATTTAAATTTCATATATTCCATCGATTAAATCACTCTTATCGCGATGTTTTACTTTACTTTGGTGATTTATTATCAAGTTGCAATGTTAATCAGCACAGTAAACTAAAAACTAATGTTAATTAGCACAGTATAGAATTATTATTTGCTAAATGCTCAGAATTTGCTAATGATTTCGAAAGAGTAGACGAATAAAGTCAATGAAAACTTGAATCAGAATAAGAAGTTAATAAATCAACATTAAATTCAAATTAGAAGAACCCTAAAACAGTTTACATCAATGTCGAAATTATCACACAATTCTAAGGGAGAGACACGAAACTTAAATGAGTAAAATTAGAAAATTATTCAACGATAATAGGAAAAATAGAAGAAATTCGTGAGTTTGGTTTGCCAATGTTAACGCTTATGGACATATTGTTTATTGTTTACAAAATAGTCCCGTTTGGTCTTCCATAAGCGTTGTATTGACAGTGTAATACGCTCTGCAAGCAATTTTACTAGAAATAATAGCACAATATTAGCACTTTTGCACCAAAACTAGAAAAATTAGAGGACATAAAGCAAAAAATATATAAAATTGAGTGTAACCTAGACTCTAATAGAATTTTTGTCTTGCACATAGACACAATTGATTCCAGATCCAATTGTACGTACATAACTGTTCAGTTCAAACTAAAATCAGACATTTAAATTTGAACATCTCCAATAAATTTACATTTATTCCATTTTAATATTATCAATATGAAAAAATTCAGATCAAAATTTCAAATCAGCCATGTTGATTCATCACAAAATTCGCCCAAAATCAAAATGATCGGCATCTACAGCGAAATGTTCTTAGCTATTTCTAATTGCGATGCATAACATTGTTCTAATTTTAATTATAACTGAACATATTCAAATTTTGAACTGCAAACTGTTTGAAATGTGTGTGATGCAGTTCATTATGTGGTATGTAAATTGAAATGATGCTCGAATAATTTCCTTTCAATTGAAAAGTACACCGAAAAATTCACCGAAGTATTCGGCATGATTATCGTCGTCATTGCAATTTGGTGAGTGAATGCACGTCAGAAATGAAATGAACGAAGAAGAAAAAAAAACACGTAAATAAATAAATAATATGGCCTCGTCGTGTCTATGTCACATGAAACCCTCTCTCTCTCTCTCTCTCTCTCTCTCTCTCTCTGTGTGTGTGTGTGTGTGTCTGTGTGTATGTTTCTCTCTGGGTTTTCGGTGTCGTTTTCTATTTCTATCTTGATTTTCGATTATTTTAATATGCCCGCCGGCCATTTGGCCGCAAGCACATCATTTCGGAATGAAAAAGTCGAAAGCGAGCAAAACGATAGAGAAAAGAGAGGCACAGAGTGGAACATAGAGAAACACAGACAGAGAAAAAGCGAGTGAAAGAGAACGAGAAAGACGGACGCTCTCGGCACGGCAACGAGATGTCGGAAGATGGGCAAATGAGATGGAGAGTTTGTGTTTATGAAATCGGGTATTTGCTGTGTGCAAACATTCCAAAAATCATTGCCCTACCAAATTCGGCAGCACTGTGCGTGTGTGTTTGTGTGTGTGTGTGTTGAGTGTATTTTGATAAAATATAAATATATGGAAATGTAAGTTCAATTCACAAAAGATGTAAGCTAAGCATGGCATACTCTTTTGTATGTGCCATCACTTCTTTTCGGCTACGAAACACACAGAACCAAATGACACAACGCCCAAAATGTATTCATGTCACTCGAAAATAAAATTGTTCACGCACAATTCCAACCACCGAAATATAATTTCCGTTTACTTCTCTCTCTCCGTCTCTCAATTTGCAGTGCATTTAGTTTTTGAAAATTCGCTGCTTTTTCCGTTGGCCATTGTGTTTATCGTTCTTTGGTTGTTGTTGCTGAGCTCGATTTTCGGCTACTTTAAAAATCGTTTGTACCACGAAAAAAAAACGGAGTATAAATTGCAATTTCCATATTAATAAATGGGAATTTACGATGGTTGAGGTGGAATTTTGCGTCGTGACACCGCCAAACCAACCGAGAATCAAGAATGGAAATGAACAATTTAATACACGATTGTTATGCAATCTACACCGAGCCTAGCACAACATCAACCAAAACGATCGAGAAAAAAAAAGTACACCAGATTCTGGTCTGGCCACCAAGTTTTGTGTAGAAAAGGAAAACAAGAACCAAAGGGAAAAGAGCAACAGAAAAAAAAACAAAGCGAACGAGTGCGACCAAAAGGAGATGTGAATAACGACGTTGTCGACGACAACAGAAAGAATGAAAGCAAAATTGCATATTTCGTAAAATTATTCGCGACGCATCCTGTAATAATATCAATGCAATTTATTCAGGTGGCGCAAATTTACCATTTGCTGCTGCCGCTGATGATGAAAACGGCTTTAGATGTGCCATTTTTGTTGTTGTTGCCCGTAATTTGTTTTCTCCACAATTTTTTTTTCTTCTCTTCTTTAAATATATCAAGTTGATAATTTATACATGCTCATGTGCATCGAAATTATGGTGATCGGCCGACAATTGCATTTTGTCATCAGGGACAGAGGGAGAGAGGAGGGTGGGCAACTCGTCCGCTTTCAGTGTCGGTTTTGCGCGACACATCCGCACTAACACACTTTAAACACACTGAGCAAAACAAAAGCCAAGAATTCGATATAACTGGCGGCTTTGCCTACTGCAAACCGCACCGCAATTCGATGCACAGAGCGAACAGATATGTGAATCGTTAGGTCGGCGTCGTCGTTGTCGTAGTCGTCGTCGTCAACGTGCACACATAATATCTTTTCTGAAATGATAAACACATATAATTTTCTTATAAAATGCTACTGTAAATTTTGCCGCCGGCCATTTATTCGGAATAAAAATGATACACTCACATAAACATCGAGCACATTTGGGTGCTTCTCTTCTTCGGCTGCTACTGCTGTGTGCTGCCATCAGTTTAAATGAGTTGCAGCGTATGCCTGTGTGTGTATGTTTGTGTATGTATTTTGCGATAAGTTCGATGAGCGCGTTTTTTTTTGCACTTATTTTACCTGCGATGCCATCACATATAAATGCACGCATGCAAATGTTTTTTTTTCGAAACATTTGGCTACAACATCAGCAACCCATTTCAACTTCACCATTTGAATCATCCAAATACGACAACGTTTATATTGCAATCACATTGACTTTTTTTCGGCATTTGCTCAAATCGTTCAATGATCTCAATGCAACGAATGGAATTGTCCGATGATTTCAATTACAATGCAAATGTTCAATGATCGAATGCGAATGCACAATGTGCATTGTGCATTGCACATTGTTTGAAATGCGATTAACTGAAATATCCAAGTCGAAAATATCGCGTCCAGTTTCGAATTGAGGCTGTGAGAATGAAAATGGCAATACAAGAATAAACATTCTGAAACGCATAAAAAAAAATTCGCAAAAAAATTCGCAAATGCAAAAGTGAAACATGAATTTACATGGGCAGCATAGGAGGTTCATGGTTCACTTTTGCGTATTCAGAACTCATGATTCACTTTTGCGAATTTTTTTTTCTTGATGCGCTTCAGAATGTTTATTCCTGTATTGCCATTTTCATTCTCACAGTCTCAATTGTGATGCTGAAGACATAAGTGTGAACAAATATTGACATTTCGGAAGAGAATCCCTTTTGTTTCATTCTCCAGTAGAAGAATCATTCTTTTTTCACTATTTTTCTTCATTCCCGAGTTTCTTATCGTTTCT